ATGTAAAACGAAAATTTTTAAATCGTTTGAAAATTATTCTGTTATTGCATCGAATAATGGTATAAGATCAATGTTTTAATTTTAACAAAATCTAATCAAATATGTTACTTGTTAAATGATAAGTATAACTGCATATTGTGCAAAACATTACGCATAGATTGTAACTATTATTGTTAGCTACTCCAATATATAAAAGCTCACTTTAAAAGGACCAAAATCTATGGTCGAGACGTCGTGAGGATTTTTAATAAAAAAATTTTGGCCTGCAGTTGAGTCGTTTAAACCATTCTCTTGTTAATTATTTACTGGCGAATAAAAAAGGTCACTGTTATAAAAACTTTGATTTAATTTAGGTCCATGTTTCCATCCATTTATACTACAGCCGCTAATTGTTTTATAGATGTAGAAGGCAAGAATGTAGAGTGCCGTTCGATCATAGCGCGCGAAAAAGACCAGAGTGCTCGAAAATATTTACGGAGCCGTGTTTCCATAAGCGACCGGTAGCGATGGCTTTTGGGTAACTGCTGCTACGTCTCTTACCATTCGGTATATTTACGCCAGTACTAGACTTTGCAGACGAGTGTTTTCGTCTCGCTGGCTATATCGTTGGCAGCTCGCTGCGTATATACGCGGCGAACCTACACGTACGTAAGTACTTACGACCACCAGTTGCCGCCTCTTTCCCTGGCGTTACATCCATCGAAGTATAAAGCGTCGTTCAGCAGCGTGGACGGGATGGTTTATTGATCATTGCGGCGGAAGCAAGAATTACTTTCGTTCGCCCCCTTACGTCGTAAATATAAAGGAAATATCTCAGCCCTGACAATTGCATTAAAATATAGTTTACTGTGTTAATAAAAATAAAACTACTTATGAATGAATATTTATTTTAAAAAAGAACAAGTAACGCATTTATAAATATGTAGGATATATAATTCTTTTTACATCATATTTGAGGATGCAATTATGCAGTAAGGAACCAAGCGCAATTTTCGTGATTTTTAGTTCTGTATTGCAAAATGATCATAAGGTCTATAGTATGTTATACACAAATGATTCACCTGTTGTCTATAATGTGCTGCCCCCTGGAGACTTGTGAAAAACGTATACCTATAACATAAAAGCACAAAAACATATATGAAACACGCACATAACGCATATAACACGTGGAATTGATATTTCAGGAGGATTATATTTGTTCAGTCATTAAGTATATTCGAGATAACGTTAAGTATATTTGAGATAAATTTTGTTTCTAATGTTTCGCGAAATTTGCTCTAGCGGAAAAGTAAGGTTTTAAAATTAGTTCCGCATTGCAGAACTGCATTCATTTAATGTTATACAATTAGTGTTGTCATATCTTCTCCTTGTATGTAATTCCTGCGGCATTTTCATATCTGTAAGTATATCAAATACAATCGTGTTATTGTTACATCAGTTAAATAGCGCAATTTTGCACCACAAAGTATTGGCAACGCTATTTGAATAAGTATCGATCATGACCATTCGCTCGTTATTGAATACAATAGCTGCGTGCAGTGATCCGTGAAACCTCCATATTAGCATATGCATTAGGATGAAACGCAATATAATGATGATATCAATATGTTTTAGATAAATGTAATTGGTATAATTAGAAGTTGGATCTATACACATATATGTATACGTATATTACATGCTTGAAAATCTCTACTTCATATAAAGTTCGATGAGATTTCGATGCAATTATGAGATTGCGAAACGAAGCTTGTTACACACTTGAAATGATCCATCTTCCCCTCTAATGAGGGGCAGGACGTAAATATCAATGGATAACTAGCAAATACATGCGCGTATCAGAGATCCTATTTAACGCTTCCGTCATTTCCCAGTTAGTTGATATTGATACAGTAAGCCGATTTTGCGATACATAGTAACGTTTCTCTGTGTTGCGATGATCGATTGCAGCTCTCATAAAACATGACACAATAATTCATTCCTACATCGAAACAACGCCACTATTTCTACATTCAAAGTTGTACGTGTAACGAGCGACCGGCGCCCGCAGGACGCATTACAATTTTGCTGGCTCGGTCAGTTCCGAGAAAGACGAACATTCCGGTTTTATTTCCGTCGTAGCCCCTAACGAGATATTGATACAGCAACGAGACCACCCATAACTTTCCACCCCAGAACCGCGTATATGGACTCTTCCGCAGTCACTCGTCGTTACGCGGAGGATGGGCCTCGGTAAATCCACGTTAGTATGTGCGGAGGGTTGTGAGCGTACCCCGAGTAACCACCCTTCTTGTTCTCGAGCACCGTCTATAACATCGTTCCTGAGTTCCAAGACGTTGCTGGACGACTTGAAAATTTATTACCAGGATAGGAGAAGAAAAAAGCTGCGGAGAGAGAACCCGACTTCCTGGCGATATACTTGCCTCCGCGTCTGACCCTTAATTCCCTCGGGACGGACAGAAGTAGCGACTTTAAATTGCGTACACCGCTTAACCGGTAGATTTTCCGAAGCTTGGGATAAAATGTTTCCTGATACCCCTTTAGCCCCGGCCACGATATCTGCGTACCGCACCCGAAATGTTCGAAGAAGCTCTTTCGTATTTTGTTTTACGACAGTAATCAAGAGCGTATCATATAAGTATCAAATATAAAGATATAAATGTTAAAAATTTCCTATGCGTGGCAAAACACTTGTATCGTTTTTACTTATTCGAATAGGCACAGTTATGGCTGAGTTTATTCATGGATATACACACATTTATTCGCGTATAGAGAACGAATAAAATCGTCCATAAAATCTCGTCGTTACATTGAGAATTCAACGCGTAGAATATATACCGGAAGGTTGTCTTTATATGCGGTGCACGCAACGAAGGTCTGAGCCCTCATAAAGCCGACTTGTATAAAACGTTACTTAAATGTACCGTGAACAGATCATCCATCCCGAAAGCGATCCGCGATCTGCGTTAGTAGATACTCTCATCTTTACCATGATAATCCAAGCTAGGACGGATTCGCGAAACGTGTACAACAAAAATCTCGATTTCGCAAAAACAATCGTCGATACACGAGTGTAATATTTCAGTACGTACATAACAACATTACATAACGAAATATTGTCATATGTGCCGTTCATTTGTGTTACTCGCTAGGAAAAACGTTTCTTTATTCGTACAGTCAGTTTGATATTTTTTATATCTCGCGGAAACCAACTGTCAGTTGCACTAAAAATAAACTGACCGCACCAAAATTCACTGTGATGTACGCGACTCGCAAATCATACCGGCAATTATTCACGTCTCCACGAACTGGAACGTATGAAAAATATGATGCCTTTCGTATATTGGATGGTATTAATTTCGAGATGGACGCATATTAGTAAACGCGTTCGCACGAATCGCGAGCGTGAAATTTAATAAATTCTTTTCAACGAGGCACATTCAAGTTTTTAAATAAATTTAACTTTCCAAATTTAATTCAAGACCTTAATAAATCTTACAAATCTTAACCAAAAACAATTAATATATATATATATATATATATATATATATATATATATATATATATATATAACATAGATATTAAATTAATATCTATGTTATATATGAGATATTTTCTCTTTTACACAAATTATCCACTCTTTAAAAACCTATATAAGAGTGTTGTTGACGCTTTTTCGCTATGCCGATTGGATCTCTCACTGCGCTTACTTCGTGAGCATCTGTATCGCATATTTTGACAGTTTTATATATCAAGGGGTTAATATTGTAATGTAACAGTAATAGTATAATATTAAAGCTAAATACTGCGCGCGTAGCGCGCGTCTGTATAATACCAAAAATGCAAAAAAAATTAGATGGTAACGTCACACGGTGTTCCCAAGCGGTCACCCATCCAAGTACTGACCGTGCTCAACGTTGCTTGACTTCAGTGATCGGACGAGAACTGGTACTTTACAACGTGATGTAAACGTTAACTTAATATGTGAGCTATCCATAATCAGTTTTATATTATATGATTCTGTTCCAAAATTCCACTTCTTTTTATATAGCAATAAATGTTAATAAGAATTGTTAACTGATTAATCAATGCGTATGATCAGAAAGCCATTCAATACTTATTTTTTTCCATTATCCGCTCTTAAAGAAGGCATGTAAGAGATTGACGCGAGGATCGTGTTTAAACAACTCATAAGACAGGTTATTATGATTGATTTTATTCAAGTTGTTATCTTGCATGACGTCAAGTAAATGTAAAGATTAAATTTGATACATGTTATTAAAAATATATGTATAATAGTCGAAAGTGAGATATAAATCTTATAACCTGAGTTGTTGTTTTTTTACAAATTGTTTTATTAATCCACTTTTTAAAAATCCGTGTAAGAGTTTTTATTGTAAAAGAGATAATTGTAAAACAAAAGTTGAAATAATTGATATGTAAACAATTTATATCAAACAAAAACGAAAAATGCATGATATTGGATATTTTTTAAAAATCATGATTGCGGATATTTCCAATCACTTTTTGTTGTCAATACAATTAACTAGAAATAAAGTGCTGTCCTCATAAGGCAAAAAGGTACACAACAGGCGCAAACAACAAAATCGATTATGTATTACCAGCGGCATTTTGCTATGACTTTATCTACGTTCCAACAGAAATTATCTCAAAACAGTACGAAAATTATCTTACCATTTACAGATTAAAACGAATATATCTTTCTCCATTCAGGATAATGTGGCCGGTATCATATCGAAAGAGAGACTCCGAGAGGAACCTGAACACACAAGCTTGATCATCCACCGGCAACGTTACTACCGACTGCGTTCGCACGTACGAATCAGCCGTGAAAGGACGGCTCTCCTTTCATCCGAAGAGATGCCGCCGTTGCCGGCGATGTACGCTTGTTTCATGTATGTAATGATATTTCTATAATTAAAAATATACGTTTAATAACGTATTTTTGCATTGCCTTCAATCCGCCACTTAACGATTCAACGATGCTTCGTGTGGAGCATGAATGCGAAGTCGAGACCGAGCATGAAGATATACTTTTTCCTCCCGATCGCAATTTCTTCCGAAAAGCGTTTGACGCGTTTCGCTCTTCGCTGATGGTATCCGGAAAAAATCCAGGTGCCCGCAAGTATTTACGCAGTCGCGCTTCCGTAATCTCGGAAAAGCGACGGCATTTGCGTAACTACAAACATATTCTTCATCCATTCAGTGCCTTTAGGTATATTTCCTTGACTTTCTACAATCTTCCTATATATGTAAAATGTATTAGTATTAGTAGCAAATACATCATCAAATCAAATACATTATACTAAATCAGATCTTTTATAGCACAGATTTTTCTGGGAAATCCTAATGATTTTAACGATAACATGCTTACTGTTGGCCGTTCCGTATCAAGCTACCTTCGAAATAAACAGGCGTTCAGGTTATTGGACGGTTTGCAAAAATATCCTACTTTGTCTTTGTTGCGTGGACATAATCGTTAATTTTATGACAGGGTGAATATAGTTTAATCAAGAAATATTCGCATTTTTGCAGAACGCAACGTAACGCAAGAACGCAATTTTTGAACGTTGTATTCTCACGTTCTTATTACAAAATTTATTAAAATCAACATTTCTTTATCTGTTATTGAGCAGATATTTTGACAAGCTGCATCACACCGTCGTGATGGAACCGAAAAAAATAATGAAGAGGTACATAAGATACGGCACTTTTCTGCCAGATTTGTTGGGCTCTTTACCAACCGACATTGTGTTTGTTAATACATGGCAGACGAACACAGTCACACGCGAGTTAGTGTCTTTGATGTGCGGATTCCGCGTGTTCTCTCTCAGTTCCTACGTAACAAAGATTGCCCAGGCGTACGATGTTCCAGTGGCCCTCTATGAAGTTTGCATTATGATATTTTGGCTAATGATAGCGTTTCAGTGGCAGTCTTGCCTGTATTGGCTGGTGCCAATAGCGACAACTTCCATGCATCTACCAAAGCGACCAAGCAACGACTCGTGGATACACGAGTTCAACCTTTGGGAAGAATCTAAGGCTCTACAGTATCTGAATAGTCTCTTACGCGCCGTTTCCACCTTTCTGTCTTCGGGCTTCCTGCACGGAAGACCGAGAAACGAAGCGGACCTCACGCTGGTGATCCTCTTACAGATCTTAGGGAGTCTAACTATCTGGATCCTGATAGCTCGTGTGAACCAGCTCTACAAGAGCGCCAACAGTTCTAGAATAAAGTATCAAGACATTATGGCACAGCTCAAGCAATATATGAAGCATCGGCAACTACCGTATTCGACTCGCCACCGTATCGTAGCTTACTATGAGTTTTGCTTTCAACATCGATACTTCTACGAAGCCGAGATCCTCAGCACTTTGTCCCCACATATGCGCCAGGAGATCGGCATGCACGTCTGCCGCAAACTCGTGGAAAACGTTACGTTTTTTAGCAATCTGCCCCTCTCGTTACTGACGCGCATCGTCGCTCTGCTAAAGTCCGAGATATTTTTAACAAACGACGTGATTGTACGGGCCAATCAGCCAGGTGATTGCATGTACTTCATCGCTACCGGTACGGTGGCTATTTATACGGGTTCCGGTAAGGAAGTGTGTCACTTGGAGGATGGCGCGCACTTTGGGGAGATCGCGCTAGTGATGCCGGACGAGCGGCGAGTGGCCAGCGTCGTCGCCGTTGAGATTTGCGAGTTGTATCGTCTGGATCGCGCGGATTTCGCCAGAACGATTCATCCCTACCCCATGCTATGGGAGCAAATCAAGAAAATAGCTGTCGAGAGACACGAAAGAACGACCATACTGGATATGCATTAAATATTGCAAAAGTATTTTATTTAAAAAATATCGTCGTTATTACGGCGTATTTATTGGAAAATGGTAAAAAAAATCTTATTTGTGTGTAACTTGGTTATGATATTAAAAGCAATATTGATATTGATATCGTTTTAACCAATTAAAAATAATATTTATATAGCGATACGTTATATGGAGAGCAAGTTAAAAATTGCTCTATCTACGATCATTAGAATTATACAAACCGCGACCGAATGCTGAAAGTAACATTGAGATTATCAAGCAAGCTAGAAATTTTAAAGATCTGATTATCTACTGTTGCAACGTAGCATTATAGCATTATGGAAAATCATACTTTGGAACAATGCGTGTCTTTGCAATCAATTGCGTGTCTCGTAGTTTTTTAAAAGATATAATGTATTCTCTAAATTTATTGTGGCGTAGGTACTAATATCAGGTTGTATAAAGGTTATTAAAGAATTGCCGTTGAACGGTTACGATTGTAAGAATTGTTAATGATCGTTGACGATAATAGCGGAAAATTGTTAAGGAACCGATAAATTTCAAGACTCCGATAACTGTTTCTCGTAACCCAACATTAGGGCAGATTTATTACCCTGCACGCGGATCAAGAAGATCCGCGATCGTGCGCCGCGAAAGACTACAATTTTCAATGTACTGTAGATCATCGGTAATATCATGTAGCAAGAAGAATGTGTGATCACTTCTTAAGATGAATTCGCGATAATTACAGTTTAGCGCCGCGCATCAACCGGAACTCGGACTCGTTTTGCGAACATCAAAAATCTGCAAGTCGATTCGAAATGCATCGCGCGTATCAAATGTATCGCGAGTTTTGAATCGGCAAGTGGAGCACTTAATATAATGGAACGAGAAACGGAAGGACGCCTCTTCGCTTTGTAACCGTGCATCGACGCAACTAGCTCGCGCTATTAATACTTATCGGACGCTGGGATCATTATCTTTAGCGCTGGTTGTAAGATCCGTAGTTGATTGTAGTCGGTGTCCCGGGATATTGCATTAAGAATACGCGTGTAACGAGAGAAGGCCTGATTTACTTGACGATGCGTGCTTATCTGAAAGATTCGCGTATCGAGTTAGTCCGACCGGTTCTACCTGAATATCTGCGCGATGCAACGATACGTTATCCGTTATTAATGAATGCAGTTTTCACGATAATTGTTTTTTGTCGTTACGGAACGAACTTGTTCTTTCACCGAGGCGAGGAATGTCTAAGCAGGAAAACTTCGATGGCACGCGTAAATAATCGGTATGCATACGTTGGTAAAAAAAAAGTACCTATCCTCTCGGAACTTATTATTAGATCTAGCTGCACGGTAGCGTGGTAACAAGTTCGTGCCACGATAATATATCTCGCTTGATGATATAACTCTCTGATGTTAAATGCGACAAATATGTATCCCGATTATTCTACACAAAAAGCAGAATAAACTACCGTAAAAGAGAAAAGGAAGCTTTGGCTGCCGCACCGTCGTCGCACGTAGTGAGGACAAAGCAAAGCGTGCAAATCGCAGAGACACGTACAAAGTAGTGTAATAAATACGCATTAATTACTTAAAGAGAGAAAGAGAGAAGGTTACCACGTATATGCCACATCAGCGATAGCTTAATGCACAAATTTAACGACAAGCTATGTTACTGTTGCGATAAATATGATCGGTAGGAATTTTATACACATATAATAATTGATCGAACAGTCAAGTCGGCAATCTATCATATTAATGACACCTTTCCGACAGAGGGGATTGCACCTAGATAAAAGCAATTAATATACTCCACCACTGGTGGTCATGGGTGGTCGGCCGCGCAGAAACTCACGCCTCGCTTGGCCTCACCGTGGAAACGGCGCGACGCTATCCGATGACGGTGGTCTCGCTGGCGAGAGCCGCCCATTCGACGAGAAACAATGGTTCGCGCGCATCGACGCATGGGCAGAGAGAACGCCGATGACAATGAAACGTTTAGGAGGGCTGGCCATTGTAATAGGCCGACGATGCGCCTGCTTGGTAGCTCTCGATGGCGTACACGCACTGGCGTATCCCTACTGCCGCGCGCGCACCAGCTTCGCGGGCAGAAAGGGGAACGCTAAGCATTAAGATAGTATGAACGAGAGATAGAGAGAAAAGAGGGAGAAAGAGCTCGCTATTGTTATCAGCACGACCACGGATTCGGTTGGCGAGAGCGAGACGAAACGTTCCTGTGGCGAACGAGTGAAACGCGCGACGATGAAACGAGAGGAAAAGCTGGACAGACGAAGAGGGTGAGAGCGCGAAAGTAGACGAAGGAGAGAGATAGAGAGACAGAGAGGAGAGAATCGTTGTGGCTATGGTTATGTGGCCACACCCCGCGGAGCCAGCCAACGGGCTCTCCGCCGACCGACGACCCACCTGACCCCACAATGGGCAGATCCACGTAGCTACGCTCGGTGGCTGCGCATTGTTCCCCCTCTGTGCGAGTTAAGCGGTGTGCATGCCGCTAAAACGAAGCGGAAATGTGTGCGGAATGGGTGAGGTGCTGGGAGGGTAAAACGAGAGAGACGTATGCGCGATGATATACCCGAAATGAGCTTCCCCGATTGAACGTATCGTTTACGGCACGTGATACGATGACAACGTCGAAGACGCTGAGAACGCGATGCGTAGCAGGCAGCTTGAGGTCATTAACATGTTTAACGGTGCATAAGTGATACGGAATCGCGATATGTCCTTTAGAATGTACATCGAGCATGTCGCAGATAATTTGACTCGGCTACTTCCATGACCGTGTTTCTTCTCTAATCGCTTTCCTGTCTCGCGTACACATTAGAGGGTGAGAGAAAACACGCAGGAACATAGAGACATTGAGCTCGTTGCTCCTGGATACTCTGGCGGAACGTACACTTGGTACTCGAGAGCGTAGTGGCAAATGTGAAAGTCCATAAAATGAAGATTACTCCAAGTTAAAGGGACATTAATGATCTAAGGAGTTCTGTAAATCTTCTTACTACGCACATTCTTGTTAATGACTCATGACGTATATACACCTCGAGAGATTAAAGCGAAAATCGTAGATATATGTTCTATTGCAGTCACGTCAGACAAACAGTAAATCCCAAGGGTCAACATTGAATAGCATATACATTCGAGAAATCGCGGAACACTCCCCGAGTGGTATGCCTCCACGGAATTAAAGCATGGAAACGATTCAAACTCGTCGCGCCGATGCGACAGCGAGATTGAGTCTCGTAACGTCTTCGCGCAGATATCCAGATAGACAGATACGCGAGGAGCGTATACACCTACATCAACAAAACCCGGCGAAGGCGACCCTGGCTGCCTTCTCCTCTGCGATGGGTCGATACTCTGCAAGCCGCCACCTTCCCCCGCGCTACCCTCACCCCGCGTCTCGTGCCTCCTCTGTCTTTTGCCCCTACCGCCGCTGTTTCCGTTCAACCCCTTCCATCCTTCCTCTCACATACCCATCTTCACCCACCATCGTACCGTTTCTCTCATCCCTTGTACTTCCTACCCCTACGTCGTCCTCCGTTACCACTTCCTCCTCCTTCTCCTCCGACCGTCTCTGCCTTCCCGCCGCTGCCACCGCCGCCTCTTTTACCCTCAGTGGCCTCGTCCATAGGTGTACCAGTTGATTGATCGTTTATCGATACGCAGAGGGCCCACCCCGGCGAGTTGCGGGTACGTCCTACACCCGGTCCTCTGCTGCCCTCCCGTCCCGCGCCCCGGCCATTCCCACTTTCAAGTATACGCATTACACATTTATAAGGGCGTTAAACACGAGCCGCATCGATGGCATAGAACGCTGTACAAGGATATATATGCGTATTTCCCTCATCCTCTCCGTGTTTTTCCCTCCGCGCCTCTCTTGATACTCTGCCCTCCGTTCTCTACTCTTCCCTACCTCCATTCCTGCCTCTCTCTCTCTTTCTCGCTCTCTCCTTCCCCTTTTCCTCCCTCTCTCTCTCTCTCTTTCCTCTCCTCCCCCCTGTAAAGCCAACCGGCCGCCTGGCCAACGAAGCCCCCCTACATCGGTTTTGTGTAGGAAGAGCCATGCTCGATTGGTGTCGGTGTGTTTGTAAGCGCGCCGGGCAACGTCAATGTTTCGAGTCGAGCGTCCGCCCCCATTATTTTACCCCCGGCCTTGGAACCGCCATCCCATCGACTAGCTCTCTATACAACACGGCGCGCCATCTCCTCCCTCCCCCTATTCCTCCCTCTCAGTTCCTCCCCCGCTCGTTCGCGCGCAGAGATCCCGATACACACAGCCGATACTTATTGATATGGGCTTCCGTTTACCGTTGACTACATACGTGACTTAACCGCCGGCCCCATGCACTTCCGAAACTACTACATCAATTTTTAACTGCGCAGTCGGATTTATCGGAGCTTATATTCCGCCCCGTGCACGCCCGAGCAACTGCGCTTGTGCTATTCCGCGAGTTCCTACTATTCTTGTATCTTGTTTCGGTACCTTCAGCCCGTTACTTCATGAAATTCTGTGAGTCAAGCGGAATACATGTACCGAGAAGCACTGAATGTTTCTACATTCTACACGTTTTCTGTTTCTACGAAAAAAAAAGTATTTACAAATTATTGTACAGACAGTAATTATAGAACTGCGACGCAAATGTTTGTCATGTTCGCGGTGATCTTCTATCAGTCAAAAAAAGAGCTAATAACGTCGTTCGTTAACGAATTAAAGCAAGGTCGCAGGTAGGGGATTCTCCCAACCCCCATCGAGTGTTAGCTTCCAGTCGTGACGTGGCACGACGCGGTGTTGACTGTCCGTCACACATCCCAGAGCCCGAATGACGACGTTTATAAGCTAGTGTCAACAACGGTGGGTAATGATGTGCGGCCCCCATGTTCAGCAACCAAGAGCTTCCCGGCGGGCGGTCGGGCACCCGCAACGTATCATCCCGTCACGCTACATTGAACGTCATTGTCCGAACTAAAGTCGCCGTTTATCGCTCAACGGGTGAC